CTGCTGAAAGAAAACCCTCTGCCACTTTATAAATAATATTGATTTGTTAAAAACCTTTTTTGAAGCAAATCCACAGTAATGGTGATTAACTCAAGACTTTGCATAGCTTGACTTTGACTTTACTATGCTAGCTGGTTTAAAATAAACCTGCAGTTTTATGTTTTGTAGCATTTTGAAAATTTTGTAACATGAAAGTCAAATATTTCTCTTTTAAATACTGTGATTTTTATGTAAAATATTATGTATGCCTATTGCTGTAGTGCGTCTAACAAAATCTTCTCTTATTTTCAGTCTCCCAGTGTTACAATGACAACGTTTCTTCAGGCTCTTTCACTTGCAGTAGACAAACAATTTGAAGAAAGAAAAAAAATTGCAGACTGTGTGTGATACTCTTTTTATAACTTTTTAATAGTTGTCTGTATTGTTAACACTGAAGACTACATATTTTTCATACAAACTGTGCAACTTCAACGGATCTGTAAGATAGATTGTCAACACCTTAAAAAACTGGGAATGCCTAATCTAGTTTTTCAAAATATTCATTAATAAACAATTAAGAAATGTCACAACATATTTTTCAAAAGCTTTATTTCAAATGCCAATAAGAGGATTGTAAAAAATTCTTGCTAAAAGTCAATTTTCATCATTTGAAGTTATTAAAAGTGGGCAGACTTCTGTTCCTTGTTTCTTAACCACTAAATTTCTATCCATGCATGCATTTTTATACTTCAAATTTCTTTCATTTTTTTAATAGCAATAGAAATTCAGTCTTTGGATCTGATACTTCTGTCACAAATGCAGTACTTTTTATTGCTTCTGAAATAACAAGCAACTGGGAAGGATTCGAAGTGCTCAGTGATGGCACAGACCTTTTATACTGACATCTTTTTAACTTGAAATTTGATATCAAGTATTGCTTTTTCTAATTATATCAGATTCAAAAGTTTAAAATCAAGAGATCACTTAATTGTATTTGCTAATACTACTTTTTTGTGTTGTGACAAGGACGTGAAGCAGAGTGGACCATGTTTTCTCACTGAAGAGTAACTACAATGTCTAAGAAACTTTTTTTAAAACGAGTGAAGTTTGGTTTGGTTTTGTTTTATAGAACATAAAAATTAACAATCATCTGTGGAGAAAAATATTTCGTAGTGCAAAAGCCAGGAAATGCATGCATCCAGTTCCTAAAGTAACAGAGTCAACTTTTATATGGTAAATATATAACCAATATAATACTGGTTACAAAACTCAGTTCTTCTGTATTTACAAGTATTTTATCTGCACTCAGATGAAAGAATGAAATGTTAGGGGAATTTCCATATTAGAAGTTTAATTATTCTTAAATGAAGATAAAATAATGAGATTTAAGTTGATGATAGTCAGTTAATGCGTGCCTCCTAGTTGTTGGTATGGGAAATACTTTAGTGATAGTGCATTTTGTTACTTGTTTGTATCTTTTAAATCAATGTTATACTATACATTCATGAGATGAAAGATTTTGTCATGAGCTGTTTTTGTTGATGAATGCTACAAACTGTGCATTAAAAAGTTGCACAGAACTTGTCAAGTGCTAGTAAATTTTTATTACGGCATCTATACTTATGTAAAGACAGCCTCTTTGTTCAGCCTGTCTAGGTATCTGTTCATTATATTACTTCTGAAAATAACTTATTAAATATTATTCCATATCTACCTCCAAAAAAACCAAGGGTGGGGTGGGCAGGAGAAGATTGTACCACATTCAGATATTTGCAGTTGTGTACTCTGCTTTTCGCACAATTATCATTTTGAAAATACTGGTACCATTAGGTGGTAGTTCCAGAAGAAAAACTCACAGAATGAGGGAGGCTTATTTCTCCCTGTTTTCCAGTTGTGTGGAAAGTACTGCCCTGCATTCCCTGCATAGAATGGACGTTTTGGATTTTTTTTCTTTTGAGAGTTTTAGTTCAACACAGTTTTAAATTCTAAAGGCTTTGAATCTGTATCTTTGAAGAGATTCACCTTGAAACAGGTGGTATTTGTTTTGGAAGGAAGTGTTTTCCGCTCCTTTTGTTGAAGATGCATTCCTTCATATCCAAGAGTACAAAATACATGAAAATAGACAAAGAACATATAATGCGGAGCCTTACTACAACCTAGGGATTAGGCCATTCAGATGGAAGAGGGTGCTTGGGAGGTTCTAGACTGAAATGTTTCTATCTTGTATTTAATGACCATCTACTCTGAAGCATGCACATCTTTTTGCAAACAGGTAACTGTTTTATTTTAACAAAGGCAGACAAAGAATGTTTGTGCTCTGATTTCCAGGACCGCTATAAGCTAGGACACATTGGATATGAAAGCCCTCAGAGTAACCTTCTCCCCAGTCAGTGCAAGTCTGTCATGTGCTCAAATGCTGTAACCTGGGCTGTTCTTTTCATAGGAGACTCAGTGGCCGTGCGTTAATCCTCTGTTTTCTTTCCCTGTTCCATTAATAAAGAGGGAATAATCCTCTTTTCCGGGTACAGTTCCAGAGCAGTTTTTTGATTTTTAATCATAACCATAAATTGAAACAACCATCTTTCAGCACAAAGAAAATTTCTACTTTGTTAACAGGTTGCTTCTAATTCTCTCGAAGCCACTAGATGGCGAGCAGAGTTTTAGCAAGTCATGCGAGAATGGGAATGCTGACTGGAAGTTTCGAAAGCCCTAATGAACAAGACTGACACTGCTACAGTGAAAATCCCTCTTCAAAGCTTTAGTGTAATGTAACACCATAGAATTTCTCTGCTTAACGTTACAGAAAGAGGGATTCTGAATGTAAAATGTTTTGCAAAATACAAAGAAGCTGTTGCAGAATTTGACTGAAGGTGAAAACCAGTGAGTTTTCCATGCTATGGCAGAAGTTATTTTGTACTGTAGTTTAAGCATCTCATCCACTGGGTGGTGGGTTTAGAAAAATAACTGGGATCTAGGTCACTATAAGCACAGATGATTAAATTTTGAGCCTGGTGAAGGCAAACACTTTCAGCATAGCACATTAAAGTGTGTGGAATGTAGGGTTTTATAACAGTTAAGTAATCCTGAAATAGCAAAGTAAAAAAATTTTTTTTTTTGCTTGCAGAAAGCAAATGTAGACCTTTTGCCAAGCTGAGCACTACTTATTTTATGAGATATTTCTGTGACTAACATTTTTCCAAGCAGCTAAAAGTGTTCCTTTCTGATCCAGATCTGGACGTTATGATTTCTCTACAGAATTTGTAGCACTGATTGTCACTACCCTGCATCGTCTTTTGCTAGTAAGGCTCCCAGATAGTGTCTCCTCTCTGCTGCTGCCGAAATAAACTCTCCGGCAGAAGTTTCCAACTTTTTACCATCTCTGTATGAGTTGGTAGGGGAAAAAGACTTTCTAGTGGAATGTTGAAACTTGATACAATGCTAGTAGTCATAGGAAAACACCTTTAACCCTTTACATTGCTGCATTAAACCGAAAAGCAGGATATGCAATCTGGTTACTTCCTTTCTAAATCTGCATGGATTCTTGGGGCACGAACGTAGTAAGTAGAGGTTGAATAGAGCATGTTTCCTCATAACCAGTTGCTGGTTTGAGGTACCATGCTTATGAACAATGGCATGATTCAGACAGGGACCACAGACAGTGCCATAGCAGAAAGTGTCTTTTGTCTTGCTGCTGGTCTCAAAGTAGCCGAGCAGTTTGAAGGAGTTCAATTTATAATGAAAGGCTGAAAACAAGAAAGCTATAGCGTCTGAAAAGGGATCAAATCCAAAACTTGGAATTTTCTAAATGGCTTAAATTCCAGAAAGTAATTTCGAAGTTCAGCCTGTAAACAACAAAAAACCACACAGAATAATGGTGAGAATGACACAAAATAAGGTAGATTATTCCAGTACACTTCTTAACCATTTTTTATTTTTTGTTTTATATCTTTAGGACAGTTATATCTTGCATGGATGAATTGGTATTATCCAGAAAACAAAAAAAAACAACCCCCCTGGACTTAAGTCTTTTTTCTACTGAAGAGCTGCCCTTCAATGAACGGCTGCTGTTCACGAAGAGCTGCTGTTTGCTGGCATTCATGGAGAGCTGTGATTTGCAAAGGGCTCCCCTTTGCAAAGAGCTGCTGTTTGCCAAGTGCTGCCGAATACAAACTCCTGTCTCATGTCACAGTTCATGTCATAGTCATGTCACAGTCACAGAAACTTAGATGGTAACTTTTCGAATCAGATTGTGTCTACTTTTTAATACCAAGTCAAGAGCTCTTTCTTCTCCTATGGGTTCCTCAAGTAGCCTTTCCACCATACTTTACTCTGATGTTACATGTTCCCACTGATTTTTTTTTTCCTTCATTCTTGACAAGTCTATTTACCAATATTCTAATTTAAAAGTAGGTATTCCAGTTACTATATATTATATCCTAGATTTCCTAAATTTGTGTAGGTAAACATGTTTGGGGGTTTTTTTTGCATCCTTTTTAAATGAAATCTGATTTTTTTTCGGACCTTTTCTTTGTTTTCTATTTGACTATTGCCATTTTCTGCACTATTTTGTAGTGCAGGCTGAGGAGAGACCTTATCGCTCTCTTACAACTACCTGAAAGGGGGTTGTGGCAACATGGTGTTGGTCTCTTCTCCCAAGTAACCAGCGATAGGATGAGAGGAAATGGCCTCAAGTTGCACCAGGGGAGGTTTAGACTGGATATTAGGAAAAATTTCTTTACAGAGAGCGTGGTCAAGCATTGGAGCAGGCTGCCCAGGGAGGTGGTGGAGTCACCATCACTGGAAATGTTCAAAAAACGTGTGGACGTGGCACTTCAGGACATGGTTTAGTGGGCATGGTGGTGTTGGGTTGATGGTTGGACTTGATCTTGAAGGTCTTTTCCAACCTTAATGATCCTGTGATTCTGTGTGATTATTAAGGTGTATTATCACTTAACTTTTTGTGACTGTTTCCAGTTCTAGCAATTATTTTCCTAACTACATTTTATTGGTATAAAGCTGGGGTGTTTTTATAATCTTGCCTTTAAACTGTCTAGTCTGTAAATATACATAAAATACTCCTAAAAACTAAGTTAGTGCTGCTTTGGCAAATACTCACACATCACCTGCACTAATGAAGATAGTGTATAATGGTTTATCCTTCAGCTGACATTCTATTCAGATAGAGCCTGTGGGCTCATTTTCCTGAGATTGCAAGGAGCTGGCTCTGTAGGGTGCTATTAGAGGCAATTAGATCTGGTGAAATAAACATCTGTGCGTGGGTTATAGCATGTTGGCAAGCAGCTTTAAAGAAGAAAGGGTGGATGATTTGGGAACACTTCAAAAACTTTGACAGGTTCAGAAAAGCATTTATCTGGAGTACTTCAGTGTAGTCCTTTGCTTGAGGTCCTCGGGGGTGGAGGAGGCTATTTCTGTTCTTAAAGTTTGATGCCAGAGTTAGGTTTTTAAAGGACATAGGTCCAAAGACTGTGACTGTCTAAAAGAGTTTTCTTGTAGTAGATATTTTTTAAGTAGCTGTTTTGTGTAATTAACACATCTGCTTTAAAGCATCTCATCTG